GCTCAGTAGATGTGGCACACGGGCTTAGTTGCTCCGTGGCATGTGGGATCTTCCCAGACCAGGGCACGAACCCGTGTCCCCTCCATTGGCAGGCAGATTCTTAACCACTGCCACCAAGCAAGTCCCTTTTTTTTCTTTTTTTTTTTTTGTGGTACGCAGGCCTCTCACTGTTGTGGCCTCTCCCGTTGCGGAGCACAGGCTCCAGACGCGCAGGCTCAGTGGCCATGGCTCACGGGCCTAGCCACTCTGCGGCATGTGGGATCTTCCCGGACTGGGGCACGAACCCATGTCCCCTGCATTGGCAGGCGGACTCTCAACCACTGCACCACCAGGGAAGCCCTATATTCCCTTTAAATAGTCAATAACCGTTCTCTAATAATTGTAAGATCCCAGAGGGAGTGTAATAATAGTGAGCTCCAAGACTATGGATGACCTTATACTGACTGAGGTAATTTACATACTAATTGTAAAAGCAACTAACATTAACTGAATTCTTAACTGTGTGCCTGGCATTAGGTTTAACATTTGACATATATTATTGCTTATAATCTACATAAAATCCTTATGAGATAATATTTTACAGATGGAGAAACTGAGGCTATGTGAAGTCAAGTAAATTTGGCAGAGGTCAGAAAACTGGCAAGAGGTTGAATTTGGACTTGAGTCAGCTACTCTTGGTTGAACAAGAAGGAGAACAATAATGAAGAAGAGGGCCACATAGGAAAGGGGGATGATGGGAGCATCCATCCATTTTTCCTGAAGGAAAAAATATATTTATGTATGTATGTAAATGTTTGTATGTATATAAGTGTGCATATGTATATGCATGTGTAGAAAGAATCTATTTTCAATATATGTACGTACACCCACAAACCTATATATACATATATACGTATATGTATACACACACATATATATATATATGGAGAGAGAGAGGAAATCTACCTTTAATGTTTGTTCATCTATGGTCTGCTTTCAAAGAGATTTACTCTTCTGTGGGAGATAACATCAATCTCAATAATAATATAATAATAACTAGCAGATATCCTGAGTCTGGAGAGGATGACTTGACAGCATTCTTTTATATAATGATATTTTAATTATCTGACTCTTTCTCAAAGCTGTAAGTTTCCATCAGGCAGTGACTATACCTTGTTTATTCTTTTATTCCAGAGCCTAGCACAGCCCCTGACTAGCCCAGGGTCATCCAACCAGCCAACTAGTGGGATTCAGACTCAGGCAGTCTGACACTAGAGCCAAACTCTTAACCATGGGTTTGCCCTGTCTCTCACAGAACGATCCTATTCCAAATGCACTGCACTGTGATTTTAGGGCAGGGCTGCTTCTTTGGTGTGGGTATAAATCAGATTCACCTTATATTCTGCTCATAAGTTTGGTAAGAAATAAACTATCCGGAGAAATGTTGCCTGACTCCAAGCTTAAGAACAAAGCCTAGGGCTTCCCTGGTGGCGCAGTGGTTGGGAATCCGCCTGCCAGTGCAGGGGACACGGGTTCGAGCCCTGGTCTGGGAGGATCCCACATGCCGTGGAGCAACTAAGCCCGAGTGCCGCAATTGCTGAGCCTGCGTTTTAGAGCCTGCGAGCCACAACTACTGAGCCCACGTGCCACAACTGCTGAGGCCTGTGCACCTAGAGCCCGTGCTCCACGGCAGGAGAAGCCACCAGAGTGAGAGGCCCGTGCACCGCAGCGAAGAGTAGCCCCCGCTCGCCACAACTGGAGAAAGCCCACGCACAACAACAAAGATCCAATGCAGCCAAAAATAAATTGCAAACAGAATCCAACAGCACATTAAAAGGATCATACACCATGATCAAGTGCACAGCATCGTGTCAATTTCTTATTTAGCTTGTGCATCGAAACATGAATAAATATAGCAGATTAGGATGTCCTAGATGACTAGGAGCTGCTTGGGAGGATTTTATTCGGCAGAGCCTCTGTATAACATGATAGATGGAAATGTTCAAGAACACTGCACATAGAAAGTGGGCATAGAGGGAACTTTCCTCAACATAATAAAGGCCATATATTGACAAACCCGCAGCCAACATCGGACTCAACGGTGAAAAACTGAAACCATTTCCACTAAGATCAGGAACAAAACAAGGCTGCCCACTCTCACCACTATTATTCAACATAGTTTTGGAAGTTTTAGCTACAGCAATCAGAGAAGAAAAGGAAATAAAAGGAATCCAAATCGGAAAAGAAGTAAAGCTGTCACTGTTTGCAGATGACATGATACTATACATAGAGAATCCTAAAGATGCTACCAGAAAACTACTAGAGCTCATCAATGAATTTGGTAAAGTAGCAGGATACAAAATGAATGCACAGAAATCTCTTGCATTCCTATACACTAATGATGAAAAATCCTGAAAGAGAAATTAAGAAAACACTCCCATTTACCACTGCAACAAAAAGAATAAAATATCTAGGAATAAACCTACCTAAGGAGACAAAAGACCTGTATGCAGAAAATTATAAGACACTGATGAAAGAAATTAAAGATGATACAAATAGATGGAGAGATATACCATGTTCTTGGATTGGAAGAATCAACATTGTGAAAATGACTCTACTACCCAAAGCAATCTACAGATTCAATGCAATCCCTATCAAACTACCACTGGCATTTTTCACAGAACTAGAACAAAAAATTTCACAATTTGTATGGAAACACAAAAGACCCCGAATAGCCAAAGCAATCTTGAGAACAAAAAATGGAGCTGGAGGAATCAGGCTGCCTGACTTCAGACTATACTACAAAGCTACAGTAATCAAGACAGTATGGTACTGGCACAAAAACAGAAAGATAGATCAATGGAATAGGATAGAAAGCCCAGAGATAAACCCATGCACATATGGTCACCTTATCTTTGATAAAGGTGGCAGGAATATACAGTGGAGAAAGGACAGCCTCTTCAATAAGTGGTGCTGGGAAAATTGGACAGGTACATGTAAAAGTATGAGATTAGATCACTCCCTAACACCATACACAAAAATAAGCTCAAAATGGATTAAAGACCTAAATGTAAGGCCAGAAACTATCAAACTCTTAGAGGAAAACATAGGCAGAACACTCTATGACATAAATCACAGCAAGATCCTTCTTGACCCATCTCCTAGAGTAATGGAGATAAAAACAAAAATAAACAAATGGGACCTAATGAAACTTCAAAGCTTTTGCACAGCAAAGGAAACCATAAACAAGACCAAAAGACAGCCCTCAGAATGGGAGAAAATATTTGCAAATGAATCAACTGACAAAGGATTAATCTCTAAAATTTACAGGCAGCTCATGCAGTCAGCTCAATAACAAAAGAACAACCCAATCCAAAAATGGGCAGAAGATCTAAATAGACATTTCTCCAAAGAAGATATACAGTTTGCCAACAAACACATGAAGGAATGCTCAACATCATTAATCATTAGAGAAATGCAAATCAAAACCACAATGAGATATCATCTCACACCGGTCAGAATGGCCATCATCAAAAAATCTAGAAACAATAAATGCTGAAGAGGCTGTGGAGAAAAGGGAACACTCTTGCACTGCTGGTGGGAATGTCACTATGGAGAACAGTATGGAGGTTCCTTAAAAAACTAAAAATAGAACTACCATATGACCCAGCAATCCCACTACTGGGCATATACCCTGAGAAAACCATAATTCAAAAAGAGCCATGTTCCACAATGTTCATTGCAGCTCTATTTACCATAGCCAGGACATGGAAGCAACCTAAATGTCCATCATCGGATGAATGGATAAAGAAGATGTGGCACATATACACAATGGAATATTACTCAGCCATAAAAAGAAACGAAATTGAGTTATCTGTAGTGAGGTGGATGGACCTAGAGTCTGTCATACAGAGTGAAGTAAGTCAGAAAGAGAAAGACAAATACCATATGCTAACACATATATATGGAATCTAAGAAAAAAAAAATGTCTTGAAGAACCTAGGGATAAGACGGGAATAAAGACACAGACCTACTAGAGAATGGACTTGAGGGCATGGGGAGGGGGAAGGGTAAGCTGTGACAAAGTGAGAGAGTGGCATGGACATATATACACTACCAAACGTAAGGTAGATAGCTAGTGGGAAGCAGCTGCATAGCACAGGGAGATCAGCTCGGTGCTTTGTGACCACCTAGAGGGGTGGGATAGGGAGGGTGGGAGGGAGGGAGACACAAGAGGGAAGAGATATGGGAACATATGTATATGTATAACTGATTCACTTTATTATAAAGCAGAAAGTAACACACCATTGTAAAGCAATTATACTCCAATAAAGATGTAAAAAAAATAAAAACTGAAACTATACAAGTAAAAAAAAAAGAATACTGCATATAAATAATTGATGCATATATGAAAAAGATTCTTAAGGCTTTTTAAAGACAATGCACCATAAGATTTTTTTGTTTTCGTATTTTTGTTTTTTTTTGTAGGTAATATAAATTATGGGTACTCAGCTTGCGGATAATTAAGTATTGAATAAGCTACAGTTCACTGCAGTGATGATTCACATCATCTAGCTTGTGGATAATCGATTGTGGTGCTCTTGTCCCGGTTTTTGGCTCTGTTTACTGCCTATAAGCAGTCTCATAAAATTAGACTGAGGCAAAGTCAGAAAGTAGAAATAAAATGTGTACAGAGAAATTCAATATAGCACTATTTATAAAAGTGCTAATAGTCCAATAATAGATTAATAGTTAAATAAGTTTTGGCATATCTGGATAAAGGAATATTATTATAGTAGAATAGCATTTATAATGAATACTTTTTATGATTAAATGCTTAAAATATGATAGACAATGGACTATCTTGAATATTAGACATCTGGAATGAATTGAATACCCTCCTCTACAGGACAAAATTATTTTCAGTAATAATCATGAAATGTAACAAACAGTAACAATGGCTAGAAAAGAAATATGAATAGGCCAAGGTCACAGAGCGGCGCATTGACTGCTAAAGAACCATGTTGCCTAAGGAATACGCCCAGAAGAGGAGGAAGAGGAAAGAACTAAAGTCTGGAAGAACTCTTTCTCAGGAATGGTTGACTTTTGAGGATGTGGCCATCGAATTCACTCAGGAGGAGTGGGAATGCCTGGACCCTGCTCAGAGGACATTGTACAGGGACATGATGGTGGAGACCTACAGGAACTTGCTTTCCGTGGTTTCCACAGCACTCCTTCACCCATCCCTCCACCTTCTACATCACTCACACTGTAGAAATGATCCCTCTGTTGAACTGTTGGACAACATTCTCAGGACAGGACCTATGTCACCATCTGCCACCGTGATGACTCAGAAATCATTTCCTGGAGGGATGGCTGAATATCCTTAGTACTTAACACAGCTGACTTCTTCTTGCATCTCCTTTGAGGTTTTTTTTTTCTAAACTCCTGATATTAGTTGTATTATTATGTAATGTGTCCTCCCTGGGTGGGTGCTCATGCTGAAGAATAAGTTGTCTCAGTCTGTAGTCCAGCTGGAAATCCTGTTTCCCTCAGTACTTCGTGTGCCAATTGGGTTAATGTATACAAACCTGTGTGTCTCTTGCCCTGATTTGAAAAATCGTGTTAATTTACCTCAAGAGTTTTAAAACAAGTTCGTGCTGTTAGATTGCTTAGAATATTGTATGTTTTGTCGTAAATACTCAAAAGTTAGTTTTTTAGAAAAAGATATGTTAGTATTCTGTCATGTTTTTCATGATATGCCTTTGTCTGCATTATATCTTGTTTGCTTTTCTTTTGCAATTTTTTCTCAACAACATTGTGTCTGATCCCAGTTAATGAATATAGAACGTGCTCACTGTTTATTCCACATATTTTGGAACGATTTAACTAGATAATAAGGGTACTGCATAGGTAGGGGTTGCTCTACTTGTTGGCTGTCGGAAAAATGGAGAATATTTTACACATTAATTTATAAGCATGATTTACAGATGATGGTCTTTCAGCATGTATTATGCAGTACAGCTGTCATGTACTCCTAAAAAACATATATATGAATAGTAGAATTCTTCTAATCTTGAACTCTTCATGTGATTACATACCAATATAGAAAATAGACCAAAATAGAATTGAAAAAGTGAATATTATAGTACAAAAAAGAAAAGTAACAAATTAATATTTTTAAAGTATTTCTTTGGAAGGAAGTGGGCAAAAGCACATGGAGAAATACTTCCAGAAGACTGAATTCCCTGTTTCAGAGGATGATTTGCACATAGAATGACAGAACTGAAGTAACTCAAGTTCTACTACTTTATCTTGACAACCACTGTGCCACAACTCTTTATTTCAAATCTATTGTCTAAATGCAGGGGTGTACAGGACATAAGGCTTGAATACATGAACTACCCTCAAAGTGAGCTCAAATGATTCTGAACCCTATGAAACTTACTTTGGGCAGGAGAGGAACACGGTAGCTAATCCTCTGTCATGGACTACATGGAACTAATTCCCATGTAGATCACAAAGTTAAAGTGTAAGAACTAAAATGTGCTAATTTGAAGCTTAAATATATATATTATATAAGTAAAACCCATCAGTGTCTGCACTAATTCTTTAGAAATTAGACCAACAAAACATATTTTCGGAGAAGTATTTTATTCCTGATATTTAGAATTGCTGGAGCATTGTGATAATATAAAGCAGGCTAAATTTTAGTTGATCTTATTTATTAATCATTACTTTGAATTTCTCTACAATGCCCTTCCCACTCCCTTACTGGTTGCACATGGGGTGAACTACTTCTACAGTTCTACTCCTGAAATTCCACTGATGACAAATCTCAGGAGGAAAGAAGGATATAAAACTGTGTATAAGATATACTGGTAAAGGGCCTTTGAGATTCCCTTCTGCACAAGGAAAGCTGAAATGGTCCGTGAGGTGTCTGGAGCTTCTGCCATTTGTGATATCTGAAACTAAACATGTGACCTGGGCAAGGATGGAGTAAGCCAGGTAAAGAGATGCTCCGTATTGGATAATGGCCAATGGACCAATCAGAGCCTCTTTCTAGAGAAATATGAATGCCAATGCTCAGATGAGATAGGTTAATTACATCTGAATATTCACGAAGCTATTGTTTTGGTTCTTTATGGAGTCAGTCTTAGAGGCATTGCCACCCAAGTGATTATCTAATATGTGTCTTTTTGTTTTTGTTTTTGCTTATTATATACCCTCCATTATCTCTGTGGGCCAAACTTAAAGAATGGTTCAGTTAAAAAAATGAACAAACAAAATAGAGATATGATATAAACACTAAAAGAGAATATATAAAATATTTAACAATGGTTAGGCTCTCTGGGTTGTGAGATAATGGATATTTTATTTTTCCTTAGCTTTTTTCTATATTTCCTATATTATCTATCATGAGCATGTGTTGCTGGCTTTTCAGGAAATTTTTTTTTATTAAAGATAACTATATTTTCTATTTTCATCTTGATTTGCTTTAAAAGGAGAGAAGGAACCACCTTTATATCTATAATTCCTTGCACAGAAGTAAGTTCACTTTCCTCTGGAAAAACTGAGTGCATAATAAAAGGCTATAACCTGCTGAGGTTAAGCACAGTTTATCCTGGGCTAGTTATCTGAATTTTTATTCCTATGCTGTAGGGTAAACAGACCATTTGAAGTTTTTTCCAGGTTAGTAAGAGACCAAAATAATTGTAAGGTAGTTACCTTGGACTAGAAAGGTGAGGTGGGTTAGTGCTTTTAACAATCTCTTGCCTATACGGCAAGGTTATTTTTGAAGACAAGAGTACCAAATGTTCCAAGTTCCCACAGTTGTCATGGAAACCTTTTTAGCTAGCTGAATAGGTTAGCAGTATTTTATGTTCCCCACTTTGTCAAATACAAGAAGACATGATCCCAGCTTTGCATTACTAATCAGAAAACTTCTGTTTTCAAGTCTTCTAGCCCTTGATTAGTCACATTGTCTTAATGTTTTTTTTGTTTTGTTTTTTTTCCTTTTCCACAACATAAAGCAACAGGCAGTTTCTCTTTCAAAAATCATTCCCACTTTAGAAGCAGAGCCAAAATTGTGACTGGGATGACCTTGTTGTGCTTGGGAGTAATACTGCCAGCAGCTCTGAAAGGCTCCTGCAGGTTAATTTAGGCTCCTGCTGACTCTTCTGATTTGTACTGACTTTCAATGGTTTCCTGGAGGTAAACTCACTTGCTAATAGGCAGGAATTATTCCTCATTTTAGGAGCAACAGTCTGCCCACACCAGCTTATAAAGCACAGGTAAGCTTTAGGAAAAAGGCACCCTAAGGCTAAAACCAAAAGAGCCAGGTCACATGGGTAAATTCAGATCCAGCAAATCTGACTTTTTCCTCTTATACATCTGCAACAACCCTTCACATTGCTTTGGAAGGTAGAAGTCGTCTAAGTATACAGAGGAAAATTGGAAAACTAGCAAGGGCATTGCAGCAACAGACTGACCACTTTGAGTAACTAGTTAAAACTGGAATTTGTTGGGCTTTTTTTTTTTTTTTTTTTTTTGCCA